TGTGGCCATAAGATTGATCATTTGGCTTGAAAGCCATGAATGTTCACGCATGATAGCTCATTTCTAAGAACACTTTTTAAAAATAATTGCCACATTACAAGTTTATTATTTTTCCTGAAAACTTGGTCACATATAATGACACAACGCGAAGGTTTTCCAATTTTTTGGTTTTTTTTAATTTATTGTGCCCGTTTCAAAATGCGGTCAAAACGGCGGGCTTGACCGTTCCTAGCTAGTGGTTGAATCTTGGAAAAAATTTGATGTTTCTCTGATTATATAGATACTTATGTACCTAGAAATGATTTCTGGAAAAAATAAAGAGCAAACTATGAGGCAGCTGCAGTTCAAATTTGACCCGGTTCTTACTAAATCGGCGGGAATTTGTCTTTTTCACCAGAGGTGGATCAAAACTTTTGACACCCAACCATTTTGTCAATTGTGCATTAAATATGGCCTAGTATTTTAGAAAATTGATTTGGTCCAATTTTGCAACAAATATATGGCAGGTCCTTCACAAAAGAACTCATTTCGGGCACTCGGAAAATGGAAAATGAATTTTCCGTGCAAACAAAATGAAAACTCCCTTAGGCAACATTGTTTGTAATTCAAATATGCACCCTTGTGCACAATATGAGATCATTTGAACATACTATGCCATGAATGTGGCCATAAGATTGATCATTTGGCTTGAAAGCCATGAATCTTCACGCATGATAGCTCATTTCTGAGAACACTTTTTAAAAGTAATTGTCCTATTACAAGTTTATTAGTTTTCCTGGAAACTTTGTCACATATAATGACACAATGCGAAGGTTTTCTATTTTTTTGATTTTTTTTGAATTTTTTATGCCCGTTTCAAAATGCGGTCAAAACGGCGGGCTTGACCGTTCCTAGCTAGTGGTTGAATCTTGGAAATTTTTTGATATTTCTCTAATTAAATAGATACTTATGTACCTAGAAATGATTTTTGGAAAAAATAAAGAGCAAACTATGAGGCAGCTGCAGTTCAAATTTGACCCGTTCCTACTGAATTGGCGGGAATTTGTCTTTTTCACCAGAGGTGGAAAAAACTTTTGACACCCAACCATTTTGTCAATTGTGCATTAAATATGGCCTAGTATTTTAGAAAATTGATTTGGTCCAATTTTGCAACAAATATATGGTAGGTCCTTCACAAAAGAACTCATTTCGGGCACTCGGAAAATGGAAAATTGATTGCGACCATTTTAGATGGTCATACCGTCATCAAAGCCTGCACTTCGTTCTGATTGGTCTATGGGCATGTCACGCGGATCAAGCATTAGAGACCGTCGGATACTGTTAGATCCAACGGCTCACACCCCTCATCCTCTCCCCACCCACACACACCCGAAAGCAGCTCCCCTCACCTACACCACATGTCATTGAGGACACTGACATGTGGGCCTAATTCCTCGCGGGCCCACCTGTCAGTGGCCGAATGCCACCACTCACCCACCGCACAGCACTCCTCCCC